CTATATAATTTAAAAGAAAATTTTAGGAATGACAGTTTGAAAGCTCAGTCATGAATTTGCTCTGTTTAATCTAAAGAAAATAGGAGAAGAAAGTGCAGTGATATTATGTGACATGTTAATATTGCCAGCATTACATCGCATAGTCAGATGTTAGCCTGTGTTACCATTATTAACCAGGTGTTCTCAATTCCCAAGCTGGTATAAAACTGTTGACTTACAAGATGCTTTCAAAGATCTTCCAAAAGGGATCTTAGAAAACAAGCTAACACAAGACATTTTGATAGCCTGGAAAAGTTCAAAAAAACACTCAGCCTCAGCTGAAACAAAAACCGAAGTGTGCCGTGGTCTTGTAGGTGTGATAGTCTTGTACAGATCTTGTAATTCAAAATATCAGGGATATGCAAAATATTTGTAGCAGAGAAATCAGGGGTCCTGTTCTGTTCCAACACAGAGCAGGCACCTTTTTTCCTTGTAGCAGAGCATTGTCAAATCCTTTGGTGAGGACTACTGCATTTTTCTGGTCTTTGCTAGCTCTGTATGCAGTATGTTAATAATTGTATTCAGCATTGAGCCCTGCTCTGATACTGAATAACGCTGACAATCCAAGTTACAAGCTAAGTAGCTCTAGGTATTTCTTACAGCCTAAATATGTCTGATATTCATCTGATTTCAGCAATAGTATTTGCTCCCATTGTGATATTTTTCATTTGTTCTTTGCTACTGAAATGTGGTAGGCCATTTCAATCTCTAGACACCGTGAATACAAGGAAGATTTACCTTGCAGAAAAAGGGGAAGTGCAAAACAGACATGACCAGGAATAAAATGAAAGTTAAATAAACTTGTTTAATCAACCACTGCATATAATATTTTACATTTTTCCTCATTATTTGCAATTAGTTAAGAATACGAAATAATGGTATTGCTTGTGCTACCCATGTGAAAATAAATGAGGAAGTGCTGAAATCATATCATATATGGGTATCAAGCATTGTGTTTTAAAAGTACCAATTTCTATGGCCCCCAGCACTGTAATACTGGTTGTTAAACCTCAGGAATGGCTGGTACAATGTGTTGATTAGAGTGTAATGGTTTAATCATTTCTCAGTGATAGGAGTTCATGTTGTAGTTTCACAGATCATGAAATGTGTCTGTTAAAGATATGAGCATATTATCTTTTCATCTCTTTTTTTTTGCAGAGCACATTATCTTTTCGTCTCTCTTTTATCTGCATTATGGTGCTCATTAGCATGATCATACAGGGCACAGGGATAGTCAAAGATGATGTTTATTACAGGGATAAAAAGAAACATTTTCTTATTGGAAGTGCTTTTGCATTGCAAGTAGTGTAAACCTGCCTTATCACTCCTAAACACGGCATCCAAGTAGTTGTTAGCTGTAGAACTTATTGCCAGTGTGCAAAGGCCAGCAAATTGACAATGTTTCTTCAATAAGTTATTACAGCAATATGAAAACTAAAAAGGCATCTTCAGAGTATATTCTCTCTTCAGGGATTTGGGTTTATTTTTGGCTTCATGAAACTGAGTTTAAGTAGATATACCAGTGTCTCAGAAGAACAGAAGGGAAATGAGAAATTAGCAATTAAAACAGGTCAGTCAGGAATGTGGCTTTTGGATCTTATCCTCCCTAGGTGTATTAGTGCACTCCTCTGAAGTTAGTAGAGCTTGGCCGATTTATACAAACTGCAGATCTGTGCTTTGCCAAAGGACATACTTAACACAACAGTTCAGTTAACCTTATTTCCTATTAATTTCTATTTTTTTTTTTTTTACTGCTACTAGTGTGTTAAATTTGAAAATGCACTCTTTAGGCTTGGAAGGCTTTACCAAGCCAATGGGACTGTGCCTCCTTTAGACAAGCCAGGTGTAAACCTCTCTCACAGCATCTATGCAAACCTTGAAGGGAAGTGAGAACTGGGAAGTGTAGTGTGAGGAGACAAAGGCATAATTGTCACTTGGGAAGGGGAAAACAGGGAAGTGGTTTTCCCAAAGCTACACTAATACTCACACAGATGCTCATCTGGTAATGTATAATTTATTAAATACTCCTATTAATTCCAATTATTAAGGTACAAACCCAGGAACAGATACTTGCTCTTTTTGGACAGAGGGTAAGAACCAACTTAGACAAAATTAGAGAAGGGATAAGCAAAGGATAAGAGGCTCCAAATACTTGATAAAATAAAGGAACGGTTCCTTTCCTCAGTCCCTTAATTTGTACCCAGGGACAGCAGAGGGGCAGCAGTGCTGTCCTCAAGGGGAGAATAGTGGACAACTAATACCCAAAAAGGAAGGCATAAAGAGAAAATGAATAACATATTGCCAAGGACCTCCCAGATGAATTATTAAAACCACTTTATTAAATATAAAATCACCAACTTTGCCCCTTGCCTTTCATTTATTACCTTCCAGAGGACCTTTCAGTGCCTTTTGTCTTCTGATGAATCTTCATCACAGAAAATACTGTGCCAAAATAGGGCTGTTCTATTTCATCATGACCCCGTGTACCTCAGGATGTGGATGAGGGTCACTCTAGATCATTTAGAAAAGATTTTTCTTCTCTGCTCATAAAAAAGAAAATATTTTTGCCTCCTTTGTGTAAAAATGTTGTTAAAAAAGCTAAACTAAAGCTAAAGCTAAAACCAAAAGACTTATGAACAATGATGGTAAGGGAGAATTCTTTCATGTGAGCAGAAATTTTCCCCAATTAACCCTCTCCCACTAGCAACCTAAAATGATAGCAATGTTAAATATTATGATTAACTCTAGTTCTAAGCAGGAAGCTACTTCAGTCAGTTGGATCATTGCATTCACATAGTCTGCTGAAGTGTACACTACCCAAAAGGAGCATCTGGCAGGGTGAAAGCCAAACTGTAGGATAAGTGACTTCACTTCAGGAACAAGGTGAAAGAAAAAATGGATTGTGAAGGATGGAAGGATAGCAGCAGGCAGGAGGGCAGACAGGAAAATGTACTGATATATGGAAACAAGAAATAAAAAGCATAAACATGTGCATTCAAGTATGCTACTCATTTTCCCATTTTTTTCCCCAGTAATTAGAGCCCTTTTAAATGGAAGTTTATTTAGGTTCAAAACTTATAAATCAACTTGTAAATTATCCTACTTATGCAAATAGACTCACTGATTAATAAAATTCTGCTATTAAGATTCAGTCTATGTTTCTTATGTGGACTGAGCTACCGGAACAAATCACAAAGCATAGGATGTTCACAATAACAGTGATCCTGTGACTTAAGAACTCCTTTTTACCACTTTAGAGATAGGGACGTGAGTCAAAAAGAAGTTATGGGGGACATTTTTGAAGTGTCAAAGTACCGTAAAATGCTTTGAAAGGCTCCATTTCAATTCTAAATACTTTTGAAAGTCTGATCCTTAATGGCTTGTCTCATGTGAAATAAGATATCTAAGAGAGCTGGCCTGCAAAATCACATTTAGTTTCATTTCCTAAGTATTAGAAAATACTCCTTTTAAGACAGTTTCCTGTCTTCTCTAAATGAGTCTATATATATTGATCTTTAAATGTGTATTTACTTTCAGATCCTAGATTTGAAGGTAAGAAACTCTGATTCTTATTTAATCTTCATATTACCCAGGTTGAGAAATAATGGCAGTGCTTGTATTTGTTTTAACAATTTAAAAATTATATAAACATTGACTTTTGCTGTTTTTATTCAAATATTACCACTAAAAATGTAGTTACCTTTCTACTTTAAAAGAGTTAAAATGTTCAATCCTAAAATTACAAAAGTTCAAGTTTAAAAAAAAGAGTTCAAGAAAAAACAAATTAAAGTTAATTTTTGCTGCAACAATATCCATAACTACTATTTTTTTTTTTCAGATGAGTTCAAATTATTTATGAAAAGGCTGCCCATGAATTATTTCCTGAACACATCTACTGTAATGCATTTGTGGACAATGGATTCTAATTTTCAACGTCGCTATGAGCAACTAGAAAACAGCATGAAGCAACTCTTCCTCAAGGCACAGAAAACTGTTCACAAGCTCTTTGGTCTTAGTAAGAGATGCCATAAACAGCCACTTATCCGCATGCCAAGGCAGAGGTAAGAAAGCCTATGAAACCTGAGAAACTCAAACTGCTGTCTTGACACAAAAATCTCCTTAAGGGCATAGATGAGGGAATGTGTGCAGCATATGGTACATGTACAGTATGCAATCTTTATATTTGTAGGAGCTTAACAATCTCAGCTTTCAATATTGCTCCATTCATGTTTTCCTAAATACGATGGGAAAGGTCAAAATAAAACCTGATTTGTATATGACTGTGTATGATGTGAGGCAAGTTAAAAATAACAAGAGCGTACAGATTCAACCCATTTGGTCTGCCTCTGTTTTACAGAACCATATTTTCAGTGGAACTTGGCCAAGTGTAACAGTGCCAAATAATTTTATACTGAATACTTATTCTGAAGCAAGCACAGTGATTTTAAGAACTTTCCAGGTCATTATACATACAGTATATACTACATACATTGATTTCTTGTCTCATTTGTCAGATATGAATTAGATTTGAAAGGATGCCTAAGGAAAGAAAATAGAAGTGTTTTAGTCCTTCCTACAAACAGAGAGATCCTGAAAGCTAGCTATATTAACATAAAGTGGTTATAGTTGATTGCTGATTGAAAATTGTTTTATTGACATTAGTGGAATGACACTAGAGTAAATCTGAAATGAATGAGCTTTTAAGGACATTATTCTTCTGAGTGGAGGCATCGTGGGCCTAGTCCAGTGACTTCTGCATTTAGCATGTATCTCTGTCAATTTTAAAGAAATCTAGTTTAGGTTTAGTGTTCCAGAACTGCCAGGGGTACTTTACTCTCCCCTAGTTTCAGCTCTCCTTTTGCAAGCTAAGGGTCTATCAATTCCTCTTTGCCTTTTAGTGGCACTTAGCTAACCCTTCTGCTTTTTCTTTCAGGAGACAGCTGTTATGTCTCTCATGCCCCCCTTTTTCTACATATTGTGTTTTGCTTTGTGATCTGCTAGTTGAAACAAAAAATGTATTTTTCACTTGTGGAGTCGTTTCATAATTAGAAAACATTCCACTAACAAAGGTTATATAGTCACTGCAGTGCTTCAATATCATCTCCTGTGTTTCTTGGGCATGACCTAAATAAGCATTCTGCCAAAGAGATGATTCGACATGAAAGACTTCAGC